GTATATATGCTCTTGTATTCCCCTTGAGAAAGGGATCTGCAACTTTAAGCAGAAACACTTAGCAAAAAATCAAAAAAGTTTTCTTAACACTATTTTCGTGTTTTTATCTTTATTCATGATTGTTCTTGTAATTCTTTCCCAGAGATCTCGTTTCCCTTAAAAACCCTTGACAAATTCAATTGAGTTGGTTTCGACCTCCACAATTTGGCGCCGACTAAGGGGACTCTGAGAATCTCTTACGCAAAAAGAACCACTCGATTGGAGATGTAGCGAAGATGACCACCGGCGAGGAGTTCGAGACCCCCATAGGAGACCAACCCGGAGAAAAGCATCCGGAGGCTGAAAGTAGTGGCGTCGACAAGAACGTTACCGACGATTCCGGAGCTCACAATAAAGACGCCGACGATCCCGTTGCTGACAAGGAGGCTGGCGAGAAGGACGGCGTAGACAACCCCAGAGCGAGGGGTGCCACTGGCGCGACGGAGGCGACACCAGAATTCCTCAGCCAGCTGAGGACGATCATGGAAACGCTGCTCAATAAGTCAGCGGAAGATGCGCAGAACGCGACGATGGATGAGGAGGCAAGCCGCTCCCGAGGCAGGGGAGCAAGCTTGATGCAGAGATCCACGGGACGCCTAAACCCAACGGCGTTTAATTTTTCCACCCCGACGGGCGCACCAAGGACTGCCAGTCCATCCTGACCACGGCACCGCCGAGCCGAACATAATGACGGATGCACCTCCAGCTGACAGGGCGCCACCAATCATAGATTTGGACAAGAATCCAAGTGGCGAGCACGATTTATACAATCGCTGCGAGCCCAGAGACGAGAACCGAGCCCCAGCTCGACGCAACCATACTCGCCTCGAGCGAGACTTCGCAGACAAGGAGGGGGAGAACATCTTCTAGGAGGAGTAGTCCCAATTCGACGACGAGCGTGCGGCGAAAAGCAAAGCTCAGGTGGACGAGCTGGCCAGGATGCGCGCAGCATGAGAGCGAACCATGTCCGACATGAAAGATATGCAATCACAGATACATCGCGTGTCTAGCAGAGCT